GAAGTACCTGGAGGTTTCTCTAATATTGCCCCTTGGGTGAACCCTTGGCGTGTGTGGGGCAGGTGAGGCCCTTCCCAGTGTACCTGAGATCTGTCTGCCTGCGTTGCAGCCTGGCTCCTTCCACTTCCCTTTGCTCCACTCCTGAGAAGACAATGGACAGTCTTTCTGCTTTGCCCAGGAGATCTTTTCTCCTTTGGAATGCTCTGGAACTCTGATACTACTTTGCACTTAGCCAGCATGTCCCCACGTACAGGTGCAGCTTCCCATTTCGTTTTGAATAAGGCTTTGTTAGCCTTCCCTGTGCTGCTCCCCAGCATCCTCGCTTCTTCTGCCACATCTTATCACATCACTTATTCTTGGGGCCAAAGTCGGTGACTGTTCACTTTGGTCTCTGCTTGACAGCACTGGCCTTGGCCAGGTCCTGGAATCAGGTAACAAACAGTGCCTTCATCTTAGTTGTTTTCCACTTGTGTGGAGAAAAAAAAAATCCTTGTCTCTGGAGTTTTGTACTTAAATGCACAGCTGGGGTTCCTGAGAATGTCCTGAAATGGTATGTAAATACATTTTCTAGAATGTATGGGGGAAATCTGTTCTTTGTCTTCTCAGGAATGGAGCAAGGGGAAATGGCAGTAAATGCCACTTGGGATCCATGTCCCAAAAGTTCTGACTCTCTCAGGAAATCAGCTCTTGGGATAAGCACATCTTCCCCTCAGCAGCGTGTAACTCATTGGTGTCACTCCAGACTGAGGACGCTCAGTCATTACTGATCCTGAGGATATTCAGTTGGTTCTCTTGGTGTCAGCCTAGGGAATCAAATCTGCTATATACCACGCTGTTTTTATAATATATACTACGTTTGTAAGTTGGGTTTTAGTGCATTGATGTACATAGTTACCATTCAATTTAAAAAAATAAAGTTGGGTTTTAGGCTGGAGATGTCTTGCTGAGAACTAAATATCTAGGAGCTGGAATTTAAGTTTTATTTCTTGGTGTCCATAGAATGTTTTAGGCTAGAACCCGATGACTTTTTTTCCCCCTAACTACTAACTACTGGGTACTAATGACTTTGTCAGTGTAACAAGTTCTCCACCATGCGTACATTTTTAACTCTAATTCTGTGGTAGAGGTGTGTTTAACACTCAGTAAATCACTGATTAGCAGTAACCTTTGGGATTTAGAACTGACAGTAGATTTGTGTTAGCTGGATGGGTTTCAGCTAATTGGGGCTGCCTAAGATTAATTTTTAGTCTGGAATAGCCTGGCCAAAACATAAAGTCGTTATTCAAAATGAATTATTATTTTAAATTCCTAGAAGGACTAAACAACCTATGAAGTTTTCTTGCTTTATGGGCCTATGATACTGAATTGTATTCCCAGAACCCTGATAGATTTTGGTCAATTGTAGGCAGTTGCTGGCTGAGAAGTTTGGAGAAAGTGTTTAGACTTGATGAGCATTTGTAAGAATGGAGAATTGTGGTCACTCGTGTTGCTTTTCTTGGTGAGCCCTCTGTCTTGCTGTCGCTGACACCTCTGCCAGTCCTCTTCTGGCTTCCTTATGTGTCACTGAGCATTCCTTTGCCTACAGACTCATTTTGGTAACTTCCTGTTCGTTACATGGGCCCCTTCCTGAACCAGGCAGTGGTGCTTTTTAGGGGCCCTGAGGGCCCAGTTCTTGTGAGGGCATGGTCTTGGGGGCTGCCAGGTCTTGGGGCTCCTATGGATAGTCTCTATGATGCTGTGCTCCCCAGAACCCTCATTTTTATAACTCAATGTCTGAAGGGCCCTTCGAGCCCATTGACTCAACCTGTGACTAAGGCTGGCATCAGCCTAGCTTGGCTACATGATGGGTTAACCATTAGGGGTTAAATAAACCTTTGTGCACTGTTTATAGAGCTTAGTACTTAATTGAATCTGGCACATTTCCCCATGGAAACCACAGTTTAAACCAACAGCTTTTGAAGTGTGGCCAGTTTGGTTGAGGTTGTGAACTGGTTGTGTTTGTGATTTTGTTCCGAAGGGTCAAGGAAAGCTATAACCTGGGCATCAGATTAGTAATTCGTTTGTTGGTGTCTGAAGGGGAGCAGGTGATCTGGCTTAAACTTTTTTGGGATTCACTATTCTTTTATTCCCTTTTCTTTACTAGAGGAGGAAATCCCACCTACCTCTGTGGGTGTTTACTGTATGTGTGTTTTATGTGTGGATAGAATTGCTGTGCCCTCTCATTTGGCTTATAAAACCAGCATACAACTTGATTTCTGAAAAATGTGTTTCCCAGATGGCTTTTGGGTTTTCTTTGCAGACTTGGGCCACATTTCTCCTGTTTACAATAGAAGTTAGTTCATCTCTGCTGTGATATCTGCTGGAGTTTGGAGTTTGACCCTTGCTGTCATCCTCTATGTGTAGTCTGACTTTCCTAGCTGAATAGTTGGGTTAGAGGTGGGATGTGACTCTGAGGGCTTTGTCTCTATTTTTAGTTCTAAAATCAAGGGTACTGTAGACTTGTTTTAAGAAACATAGACACTTGGTCCTAGGCCTGTAGCACAGTGGTTATGGTGTCAGCCACATGCACTGAGGCTGGTGGGTTCTAGCCTGGCCCGGGCCAGCTAAAGCACAATGACAACTGCAGCAAAAAAATAGTCAAGTGTTGTGGCAGGCACCTGTAGTCCCAGCTGCTTGGGAGGCTTAGGCAAGAGGATCGTTGAGCCCAAGAGTTTGAGGTTGCAGTGTCACAGCACTGTTTCGAGGGTGACATAGCGAGACTGTCTCAATAAAAAAAGAAACACAGGTACTCTACTCACAGGCAGCTTATAAAATATTTTTTTTTTAAATTGTATACATGTAACAAAATATTGAAAGTTCAAAAACTGATAATGCAGCCAGCTATCTTGCTTTGGTTTTTTTTTTTTTTGGAAGACAGATTCTCACTATGTTGCCCTCAGTAGAGTGCTGTGGCATCACAGCTCATAGCAACCTCAAACTCAACCTCAAACTCATGGGCTTAAGTGATTCTCTTGCCTCAGCCTCCTAAGTAGCCAGGACTACAGGTGCCCACCATAACGCCCGGCTATTTATTTATTTTTTGGTGCAGTTGTCATTGTTGTTTTAGCTGGCCCAGACTGGGTTTGAACTGGTCAGCCTTGGTGTATGTGGCCGGCGCCCTACCCACTAAGCTACAGGGGCTGCCTAGAGACAGAGTCTTAATCTATTATCTAGGTTAGTGTGCTGTGGTATCAGTCTCACTCACAGCAATCTCAAACTCCTGGGTTCAAGTGATCCTCCTGCCTCAGTCTCCCAAATAGTTGGGACTATAGGCACATGCCACTATGCCTGGCTAATTTTTCTACTTTTAGTAGAGATGATCTTGCTCTTGCTCAGGTTGGTCTTGAAGCCCTGGCCTTAAGCAATTGAAGAGGGATTTTTTTCAGTCCTTGAAAATACATTAATTTGAGAAGGACTTGCCAGTCACACTGATGTTAGCCCTAGAAGAATTAATCTTTTATTACTAGCTGTCCCTATCCCATGACGTGCCTTTCAAGTTTCTTTATCCCTCCTGAGCTTCTTTTTTTAAAATCAAGATGGGGGTCTCTTTATGTTGCCCAGACTAATCTCTTTTTGACACAGGGTCTCAGTCTCCCAGGCTAGAGTGCAGTGGTATCTTAGCTCACTGCAGTTTCAAAGTCCTGGCCTCAAATGATCCTGCCATCTGCCTCAGCCTCCCAGTAGCTGGGATTAGTGGGATATGCTGCAACACCCCGCTCTCCCCCTTCCCTAATTTAACTTTCAACATATGGCACCTTGCTTTAACATGGCATTTCTTTGGTCACAGATGGTTTTGAACCTTTTGTCTGTTTTTTCCTGTTCCCATTTGTGAATGAGACTTTGCCCAAGTCGTTTCCTGGTTAACCGCAGTAGATGAAACACCTGCAACCTGGTTTTGGGTAGACACATTCACTTGGTGGTATCAGAGTGGCTTATGCAGTCTTTTTTTTTTTTTTTTAATCATAGCTGTGTACACTAATGCCATCTGCAGTCTTATTTTCTGGTAGTAAACTTGTTTATATACAAAGATGCACACAATAGAATTAGATTTATAAAAGTGACTTTTCTTGAACAACTAAGAATCATAGTTTTTGTGTAATAAAGATGTGAATCTTAGAGTTTTCGATATGGGCTTTTAAAAAACTTTCATCTCACAGAAGTTAAAATCTTCTCTATATTTAAATCTATTAGTCTTTTCTCCTGTGATTTCTTTATTTATTTATGGAAGCTTTTTAAAGTTTAAAGATTTATTTATTTTGGAGACAGTTTCACTTTTGTTGCCCTTGGTAGAATGCCATGGCGTCATAGCTCAGAGCAACCTCCAATTCTTGGGCTCAAGTGATCCTCTTGCCTTAGTTTTTCTATTTTTAGTAGAGACAGGGTTTTGCTTTTTGCTCAGGCTGTTCTTGAACCTGTGAGCTCAAGCAATCCACCTACCTTGGCCTCACAGAGTGCTAGGATTATAGGCATAAGTCACCGAGCCTGGCTTCCCTAATATATTTTTAAAGGTAGTTAGAGTCAGGTGTGGTGGCTCATCCCTCTCGCCCTAGCAGTTTGGGAGGGTGAGGCAGGAGGATCTCTTGAGGCCAGGGGTTTGAGGCTGTAGTGAGCTGTAATCATGCTGCTACACTCTAGCTTGGGTGACAGAGTGAAACCTTGTCTCAAAAAACAAAATACAAAGCCCAAACAACAACAAAAAGGTAGTTGTTCTTCTCTACAAAGGTAGTTGTAGAGAATAAAAATGAGCCAGAGTCTCTTCCAGTTCTGTGACTGTTACAACTCAGCTTCTGGGCTGGCACAGCTGTGTGACATTGTGTTTGGGGTAAAATGTGGCTGGTGAGGGGCCAATTGGAGGTGTCCAGCTCACAGGCCAGGGCTAGCCCTTAGCCCTGGGGAAATAAGTGAGGTAGACCTGGTTTGCTGGAAAATGGGTCACCTCTTCATGTTGGTTTTCCTTTTAGCCCTCGCAGGCCCTGTCCTTGGCCTGAAAGAATGCAGCAGAGGCTCAGCAGTGTGGTGCCAGAATGTGAAGACGGCAGCTGACTGTGGGGCAGTGAGGCACTGCCTGCAGACCGTCTGGAACCAGCCAACAGTGGTGAGTGCCTGCCCATCCTCTAGTCCCAGCCTGGCACTACCCTTGAGTCCCTGTTAGTAGTGCCTGTAACTCATTTAATTGATAGCACTTTCTCTTGTCTGGCTTTTTTTTTTTTTGGGGGGGGGGTGTTCCTCATTGTGACCTGTGTGGGAGGAAGGACCTGCCAGTGGGTGTACCCATTTTACCAGAGAGGAAATGGAGGCTCAGAGAAGTTAGGCTTCATTTTCCTGAGGTTGTTCGGTCTCTTGGTGACAGATAGGACAAAGTCCTCCATGCCAGCCACTCTGTGCTGCACTGCCTTGTGGGCCTCTGTGCAGATCCCATTTCCCACCCCAGATGAGGGGCCAGGAGGTTTGCAGTGCCTGTTCCCAGCACTGGGCACACAGCTGTGGCTCCATCTCTGGTCACTCCAAGGGGTACAGGCTTCTCTGATTATTTTGTTCTCCCCTCACTCCATTCTTTACAGGCAAACCACTGATTGAAACCCCTGGAGCTTAGTAGCTATTTAAAATTTTATTTCCAGCTATACCCACACTGGGAAAGTTACTGCTGATTTTTCATCTAAATGATATTAAATATCACATATACGGATGTAGGGTGTGGTCTAAGAGGACAGGCCCCGTGTGCATTCTTCACAAGTCCTGCACCCTCTTCAGGAGACCACTTTTGCTGGCTGTGCCCACAGAATGCAGAAGATACTGCTCTCGGCTCCATCTGGGATGCGTGGCCCTTGTGTGGCACAGGCCAAGTGTGAACGAGTGGAGTTTGAGTTCTAAAAGTTGTCAATGGCCAGTAGCACTCCTTCAGTAACAAGAAAGCTTAATGTTCATTTCAAAATATTTTCTGAATTATTCACTGGAAAACTGCCTTCTGTGGTCAAAACTACTTTCAGACTTGGTTCCTAATTTGTCTTCACTCTTGTTTTAGTACTTCTTCCTTTTTCTGAGTTTAATGTGTGTTAAGTGAGGGCTTTAAACCTTTCTTGAAGGATAGTCTTCTTGTGGCCTGGCTCTCTTGCTATGGCCCCAGGCACAGTGCAGTTGGCTCTCTGTATCCGTACATTCTGAGGGCTTGAGCATCCTGGGATTTGGGTATCCATGGAGGGGGACGGAGGGAGTCCTGGAAGTGGTATCTGAGAGGATACAAATATATTAGCCTAACTAGGTTCTAGGGTTCAAGTTGGTTTCTCTAAATGTGCCTAAGTTCTTAGGTGTCTTTAATTTCACTCAGATATTTGAGTTCTTTCCCCATGGGTTGAAAGTCAGTTTCCACCAAGAAGGGAGTTTGTGCATTCTTTTTTTTTTTTTTTTTTT